TGAGTGTGTCTGTGTGGGCATGTCAATGTTTATATTTGTGCACATATGTGTGTGTCTGTGTATGTGTGCATTCATGCATGTGTGCGTGTCTATGCGTGTGCGTGGATGTGTGTGGATGTGTATGTGTGCATACATGCATATGTGTGTCTATGTGTGTGTGCTTATATATATATATATGTGTGTCTGTCTATATGTGTGTGTGTGCTTGTGTTTGTGTGTGAGCATGTCCATGTGTATATGTGTGTGTCTATGTTCTGTGTGTGGATGTGTATGTGTGCATTTATTCATGTGTGTGCGTCTATGTGTGTGCATGGATGTGTGTGCGTCTATGTGTGTGTGTGTGTGTGTGTGTGTGTGTGTGTGTGTGTGTGTGTGTGCGCGCTCTCCTTCACGGTGCAGATGGTTTTTCTCACCTTCACCAAACTCTGTGTGTAGTTTGAAGACCTTCGCCCTCGTGACGCCGTTCGCCCAGCAGAAGCAGAACCTGGTGCACCTGAGCCGCCATCTGCACACACACACACACACACACACACACACACACACACACACACACACACACACACACACACACACACACACACACTCACACACTCAAACAGAGACACACACACACACACACACACAAACATCCTTACACATTCAAACACACATGCATGCACACATACTCACACACTCACATACACACACAAGTACAAACATACTCTAACACACCCTCACACATACTGTGCATGCATACACACACACTCTCTAACACAGACACCCACACACACTCTTTCTCTAACACACACACACACACACACACACACACACACACACACACACACACACACACTCATTCTCGTATAAACACACTCATTCACACATTCTTTCACACATACATTCTCTCTCTCTCTCACACACACACACTCTCACGTACACACTCATTCACACATACATTCTCTCTCACACACACTCTCACGTACACACTCGTTCACACATACATTCTCTCTCTCACACACACACACACACACACACACAAACACACACACACACACACATTCTCGTATACACACACTCATTCACACATACTTTCACACATACATTCTCTCTCTCTCTCACACACACACACACACACACACACACACACACACACACACACACACACAAGATAATGGATGTGTAGAGGCTCCAGCTGTTGAGAGGAGATCATTCAGCTTATGATACCCTTCACCTGTGCGTGTGTGTGTGTGTGCGCATGTTAGTGTTTGCATTTGTGTGTGTGAGTGAGTGAGAACAGATTGCAGTGTAAAGATGCAGTCCTGCCCTGTGAACCTGATGCTACAGACACCAGCAGGAGGGAAAAACCACTGTGAAACACACACGCGC